CCTTTTTTTTTTTTTATTCCCCTCCCAACTTTGTGGCGGTTTCTGTGGGTCTCAGCGCTTCTCCTACCCCTCCCCAATCCCGCATCCCCCCGGCCCCTTCCCCGCCGGGGGACCCAAAACTCGAGCTCGGCCGGGGAGGCGGCCTGCCTCTTCCCAGCCTTTTTGGGGTGGAGGTTAATTCCGGAGAGAGATGGCTGTTGGAGCAGGCTGGGCGTGCGGGGGGCTCTGCTTTGGGCTCCTTCGAAAGAGACACAAAGTGCTGCTCCATTTTTTTTTTTTTTTAAGGGCGTTAATAATGTTCTTTTTTAGGGCCCTGTAGTGGTGTTACTCTTAAGGCCGTGTTTTTGCGCTCGGAGGATGCACACAGAAGCTTTCCTTTTTTTTTTTTTTTTTTCCCCCCGCCCCCCTTAATTGCAGAGGTATTTAAAAAAGAAGAAAAAGGCTGTAAAAGCCGGCAACCGAATTGCCCCCGGCTTCAGTGAGTGCAAACCTAATGTGCACCTTCAAAGGCGCTAGGAAAAGTTAGGGGAGGAAAAAAACCACAAATTGAAGGCACAGTTGAAAGAATGAAAGAAAAAAAAAAGTTGTCCTGAATTGCCCGGGGTACACCTGAAATTTCTTTCGGGCTGCATAGCTGCTAGGTGTGGTGTCCTTCCCCCTGGCATTCATACCCCGAGCTGGAGCAGACTGCTAGAATACGTTGTTCCTGGAAAAACGTACAGCACGGCCCCAAAACTCGCTTAGTAAGAACTTCCAGAAGAATAAAAGTACCCCCCAAACCTAAGCTTACATCCTCCCTGTGTCCCCAGATTGTATAAAGCTCCCGCTTACCGAAAAGGCTCCTTGCTGGGCTTATTTTACTAATTTTCTTATGTTCTTGCAGGGGCAGAGTAGCTGTTAGGAGGAGGAGGAAAATCATGCACTTTCTTCTCGGCCAGACCCGGGGCAGTGAGGCGATTTTCCTTCGGAAAGTTGCAGGAATTGTATGTGTTCCTGCCTCGATAATTCAGTGTAGTTAATCAACTCAATAAAACCAAAGCAGAATAGAGCTAGGAGAAGGCTTTATGGGTTTGCCTTGCTGGACCGTTTCAGCATTTCCCTCTCAGTACTTTTTAATGCTGAGCTGCCAAACATGCCGTATTTATCACTGATGTCTGGCTTTGCATTTCCTCCATCCATTCTACTATTCGATGGTTGTTTTGCTGCCTCTTTCTCTTTTATTTTTAATGAAGTTTTGGGAAGATGCAAAGTGCCACTATTATTTGTAAAAGGGCCCCTCTACAGCATATGTACGTGATTTGTGTCAACCCAAATGTCTGCACCCATCTGGGTGCGTTGATAAGGAGATGCTGTGGTTCTGCGAGGGTATATACCTTTGAGAGACTTCATCAGATATATAAATCTTTTTTAACATGTTGTGGGTGGTGGGGTAAGTAGTGTGAATGTTTGCCAGATGTTCACATCGTCTTTCGTGTGTAATTTCAGTTGGTAAACAGAAATCCTGTAACCCGTGCCTGATAGCAACAGCTAACCCTTGGGTAAATGATCTTATGCCTTAAGAGGAAAAAATAAAATCATACTGTTTCTTTGCCTCAGTGGGCACATGGTGGGTTTTAAAACCAGATGATTAAAACCGCCCCCCCACCCCCCAACTCTTTCCTCAAAACCCACAGGAGAATGGTCAGGTCTGAAATAACAGCGGCCGAAAAGACGGGCGTTGAATGGCATGCCTTCCCCTTCCCAGAAGCAGCCGACTGTGTTTTTAAATGTTTACTGTCCCAGTTGTAAAGAATTAAATTTTAACACCTGCGAATAAGCTCGGCGTAAGTAGCATGGAGTCAGAGGAATGGGTTTCTCTGTCCATCCGTGTGCGTGTGTCTCTGCACTCCCAAGTTGGGCACTGAAATTCCTAATTGACAGCTCTAAGCAGAGGATGTTTCCAGCGCTGGGGCAAGGGGGGGTGTGTGTGTTTATTTCCCCTTTGCCTTGCAGGATGAGCCTAATAAAGCACATGGCTGACTTCAATATCAGAGGTGGGGGACAAAGAGAGCCCAGTGCTCTCTCTGTATTAAGACAGTTGAACTGAGCTTGGCTCCCAAAAGCTGCTGGCTTCGGCTCGGTGCATCGCCTGGCTTGCACCGGTGGTGGGAGCCGCTCTGTGGCAAAGGCGATTTTCAAGCCATTCCTGAATTGGTGTAATTCATCTCCTCTGCGTTAGGTAGGTGGCTGTTTGCAGCACTGCTCAAGTCCTAGTAGGGATGGCGGTGGGGCCAAGGGGGCTCAGGCTTGTGGCCCCTGCCTCTGTCACACACATGCCAGCCAGCGTGAATTTGGAAAGTTGTTCCTCGTGGTGACATCCTAACCTCCCTCTCATTTTCTTTTCTCTCCAGGAAACACGCTTTAAACTGCCACAGGATGAAGCCAGCCCTTTTTAATGTCTTGTGTGAAATCAAAGAAAAGACAGGTAGGAAATCAATGCTGTTGGTTCTGTATTATTTTTCTTTTTGCTTTTATGCTGTCAAGTTTGTGGTCCCCCCCATGTAACATTATTCAGGTGGGGAGAAACTTGCTGTATTTAATGCTTCTGGCAGTGGACTTGCATGATGTGGTTTGTGTCTGGAAGGGAAAATATTGTGGTTTAGTTTCTATTGTATAGCTTCTTTATTTTTCTGGGGAGGAGAAAAAAATCAAAACCCTTGCAATTTCTCTCTTGCTCTAGTTTCTTCTTTAAGACATGGCAGTGTTTAAAAAAAAATAAATCTGAGTACAGAGTAAGGGGGGAAAAACCCAACAAAAAATTAAATTGCTATTACTATTCAGGTAAACATAAAGGTTTCTTACTTTTTTTTTTAAAGAAAGGGTTAAAACACTCTTGTCTGCCAATCATGCAGGCTGGCTCATGTTAAGAGGAGTTGTCAGTTGCCTTTAGTGAAAGCAATATATTAGATTGTTAGTTACTTTAGGGTACTGTTGTTTTATGGCATGGGGTGTTCTCAGGCTTCTAAAGAAGCTAATGGCATGAGAGCATTGGTTCTGCTGTTTCCCACTTTCCAGACCTCCTACCATGTACTAACACACTTATAACACATCCCAGGGGGGCATTTAAATTTTAAAAGCAACAATTAAAAAATAGCAGTCATCAATCAAGGGTGATCTCAAACAACAGATGCTCAGGGAAGGACATTTAGTAACATGCACCACTTATGTATTTGTTGGAATCTCTTTTTTTTTAATTAAAAAAATGGGGGGAATGGTGGAAATTCGGTGAGGGGGTGAGGTTAATCTCTGCTGTTGGCATTCTTAGCCGACTAGAGTTGATCTGTGGGGTTTTCCATGCCGATCTAGCCGCCTTGTTTTAGCACCCTGTAAAGTACTTGACTTCTCTCCTC